TTAACGTGCGCAACTTGCACACGGGCCCTCCGAGATTTTTCGCCCTTGTCCGAGAAGGCTAGGTGTAGATCTTTCCTACAAGAAGATCAGGGGTGTGGCTGGAAGATAACAGTGTAAGGAGGAGCCAAAGAGTAGCAGTAGACAGGCTGCAGAAAGAGTCAGGAGCCCAGAGAAAGGTGCAAAGGAGGTAAGGGGTGGGGGAAGAAAGGGGAGACGAAAGCAGACGATAGAACATTGCTAGAGAGCAGGAAAGGAGGTGAAAGGAGATAATCTTAGAGAAGAAACATTTTTGGTCGCTACCCGGGTTTGAACCCGGGAACTTCGAATGAACACCTTGAACTCTGGGCCACGAGAGCCCCCTAATATATTTCGATTCCCGGTGAACACGCCTACATCACTCATAAGTTTGGATTTCAGCTACCCTGCCAAGACCCATTCATGTATCTGTTACTGGTATGTACACAGCTCGCTGATCCTGCTGGTCACACTTAGCCGCTTTTAAGGACAAGCGGGCTAGCCCAGATGTCGGCGCTTTCCAGAAATCTCGACCTACACCAAAAGTGGGCATTGCCCTACCTATAGGAGAAGTTTGATTTCACTGGTGTGTGTATTTGTTTGGTAGTAGAGAAAACTCTCCTCGTCTTTTATTAAAGAAACTGAACAAGGGACAAAAACTTTACCTTTGATTTTCTCAAAACAGCATTTTTCGGGACACCCCCCTTGTGCTTAAAAGCGACCACTTCTAGGCCTCTGATATCACGCCCTAGATATTCAAATACATCTTGAGCGGTGTATAACTTTCCTCGTAAAATTGAAGGGGAAAATGCGTCATAATTCGTTAGTCAAGGTTGTGTATATAAGAAAAAATTCCACAAGCTTGACAGTATATTTGAACAAGACACAAGATACCCACTTATTGTTTCTCAACTTCTGAAAAGACCTCTTTGTGAACTCGATTGGAATTATCATTATATGGATAATAATACACCATTTTTTTTATTGGATCATACTCCACCCTTACCTTTTCATAAAACACAATTCAAGTTCCAAAGAATGATATTTTCGTCTGTGAAAGGACTAAACAGACAACATCAGTATCGAAAAAATCCCCCC